CTGTTGCTTCGGAAGAATGTCAGTGTGGCTCAGAAGGATTGCCTCCCACTTGTTGTCGTTTTGCATTTTGAGTTGCATCAAACAAAGAACGGCACTGGCATTACATTTGCTGGGTCTTGCTAGTAGCACACCCACATTTTTTTCCTCCTAGAAGAGTTGATTGCCCAAACACTTACACTTTTGTAGATGAAGAATTCAGCCAAGGAGGAAATATGCTAATAATTCTCCAAGCTGCTAATAACTGCGGTTTACTAAAGTGCAGCAGCATTGTATAAGTAACACTAATTACCCAGTTGCATCTTGACTTAAACAGAAATGAATGCACATTCAGAGACTGTGTAAACATAGCAGTAACTTCTGGAGAATCTGGGTCTAGATGAGCAGTGTATGGGAATCGCTGAACGCTGTATTGCTGACTACAATAGATGTTGAATGCAGTCCTTTCCCCATTTACAGGCCTTTGTAATGGTGCAGGCTTTGAAAAGCTGCCTCCCTGTAGGCAGCAAATATAAAGCTGCTCTTACATACTTATCACTGTGGAGCAAAAGTAGCCCCCCTGGCAAGCTTGCCTCCTTCTGCCAGACAGCTGAGGCAGGGGGTCTCTATGTGTTCCACTGCCCTCCTACTCCAAGCCTCCACCCACCTCTTGTGTCAGTTAACCTGAACCAGCCCTGTTAAGAAAAGCTTAGTTTTGTCAGCTGCTTCCATCCTTATGATCTCAGTTATCTTCAGGTAACTCATTAGTAGATTGACTTCTGCTCCTCACTGGGTTGTCTGAAGCATACTCTTATTACCATGACCTCACAAAATTGTCCCCAGACTCTGCCAGAACATGTTAAGGGAAAAACTGGGTGGTTTTTTCAATACAATTTTTTTTTCCTCCTCTGCTGTTTCTCCCTGGCTTCTCTGCCATGCTGGGAGCCCTCCTCCTTGCTCAGTTACTAATCCCCTGCAAAAAAGGGCTCTCCCTCCCCTATGTAGCCATGTTTCCTTGTAGCTTTTATGGCAAAATTGCCTGGCTTAGTACACAGTTACATGTGTCACACCAATTTCATAAACACATGCACTTTCTGAATTATATAATGTCATAAATGTGTGCCCTGATTAGATAGTTATAGATACATGTCTTAATTGTTCGCTATGGGATTACAGCTGTGAGAGGATGGGCTGGCAATCATAAGAAAGTGGTACAGTACTGCGTCTGTGGTTCTGTTCCCTAACTTGAATGCCCAAATGTGGTATGATCTGAAACAGTTGATACATTAAAGCAGTGATGGAAGTAGACATGCTGTAGTAAATAGGGTCTCTGGGACAATCAAGGGCATATTCCCAGCTCCATGGCATGGAGATACTAGAAGCACAGGGTCAGGGGGCTCTTCAGCTCTGGATTGGTTCAGCAGGCAGAAGTCTTTCAGTGGCTGTGGTGCATAGCTTCATTACGTGATTTTCTGCATCCACAGAAGATATGTTCTGACAGCCACAGGTTAGCCACCAATGTCGCCTAGTGACAGATTAGAAGCAAACGTTAGCCGGAGCATGATGAGCTTCTCATGATTTGTGTGAAAGACAGCCAGCAGTCCTGCACTGGTACTTATGTCCCTTTGCGGAGGCTGCTCCAGGAAGTAACATTTTGCACTCGCTGTTCTGTGTTTTTTAGCAGAACATCTGCTTTCTTGAATATGTCCTTAATAGGACTAAAGAAACTGGCCACGTTTAGATGTTTAAATGGTGAAAAATGTAATATGCTTTACGAAGAGCGGTGCTAGAAACTTCAGCTGCAAGATTTCTAGGTTCAACGGAAAGTAAAATGAAAGTAGAAGCAGTGAGGTATATCAAGTGTAATACATAGACAAAAGCAGGTTGGTTCTTTGTTTGTTTTTAAAGGTTATCCCAAATATTTAAGCACAGTTAAGAAGAAAATACCTAATGGCTGGAGCCAGCATGTCTTTGGCTGTGTACAACTACATAGACAGAAAATTTTCCAAGTGCTTTTAGAAAGAGAGCTTTTCTGTCTGCCTGGCTGTAATTCCTTAAGGTGCATTAAATGCATTTTACTGCCTGTATATAAACCCAGAGGCAATGTGATTGTTCAGGTCACTGGTAGGTGTCATTGTGCTCCTAGCTGATCATCTTCTGATGCAGTGTGTATTAATAGCACACAGGATAAGGGACAGCAAGGGCAGGAGTGACTAGCAGGCAACAGTGCCATTGTTGTTGGCTGCTGATTTCACAGGGCTCAAATTCTTTTTAAAAAATGATGTTGAAAACACCCTCTTCTTTTCTTTCGGGGTTTCTTTTTTTTTTTTTGCCTTTCAGGAGGGAAGAATTATTGAGAAATTCATTGACATATTCCTAGCCAAATCAGAGGTTCCTTCATACTTAGTCACAGTAAGTTCAGTGACCGGTAAAATCTGTCCATACCTGAACATAAGTAGGGTTTCTTTCAATACCCTCCTTGAGAGCAGAGGCAACACATCAGGGAGAAGTATGAATCCAGTGCATCTGCACTACAGATCAAAGCAGTGGGAGGCAGATCTTGACTCCAGTCCCTGTCATGCTCCTTGTGGTGGTCTTCATGCCATGGGAGTTGCAAACACTTCCTGTCTCCCAGGTCCAGGTGTGTGTGGGTTTCCATGTGGGATGGAGAAGGACCTTGAGTCTTCCCAGAATGATGTAATTCTACCCTGTCTTTGATGACCAGGAGTGACCCACTAAGAAATGAACATTGGCTGCTGTTCTCATGTCCTTTTTTCCTAACTTGGGATGACTCGCCTACTCTTCCTGCATGTTAGCATCTGTGTCTGTAAAACAGGGGCAGTAATACTTTTCATCTGTAGAAGCATTGTGAGATTTAGAATCATAGAATGGTTAGGGTTGGAAAGGAGCTTAAGATCATCTAGTTCCAACCCCCCTGCCATGGGCAGAGACACCTCCCACTAAACCATGTCACCCAAGGCTCTATCCAACCTGGCCTTGAACACCACCAGGGATGGAGCATTCACAGCTTCCCTGGGCAACCCATTCCAGTGCCTCACCACACTAACAGTAAAAAATTTCTTCCATATATCCAATCTAAACTTCCCCTGTTTAAGTTTTAACCCATTACCCCTTGTCCTGTCACAACAGTCCCTAATGAAGAGTCCCTCCCCAGCATCCTTATAGGCTCGCTTCAGATACTGGAATGCTGCTATGAGGTCTCCACGAAGCCTTCTGTTCTCCAGGCTGAACAGCCCCAACTTTCTCAGCCTGTCTTCATACGGGAGGTGCTCCAGTCCCCTGATCATCCTTGTGGCCTTCCTCTGGACTTGTTCCAACAGTTCCTTGTCCTTTTTATGTTGAAGACACCAGAACTGCACACAATACTCCAAGTGAGGTCTCACAAGAGCGGAGTAGAGGGGCAGGATCACCTCCTTCAACCTGCTGGTCACGCTCCTTTTGATGCAGCCCAGGGTACGGTTGGCTTTCTGGGCTGCGAGCACACACTGAAGCCGGCTCATGTTCATTTTCTCATCAACCAACACCCCCAAGTCCTTCTCCACAGGGCTGCTCTGAATCTCTTCTCTGCCCAACCTGTAGCTGTGTCTGGGATTGCTCCGACCCAGGTGTAGGACCTTGCACTTGGCATGGTTAAACTTCATGAGGTTGGCATCAGCCCACCTCACAAGCGTGTCCGGGTCCCTCTGGATGGCATTCCTTCCCTCCAGCGTATCAACCAAACCACACAGCTTGGTGTCATCGGCAAACTTGCTGAGGGCGCACTCAATCCCGCTGCCCATGTGCAGCAACAAAGATGTTGAACAAGACCAGTCCCAACACTGATCCCTGAGGGACACCACTCGTTACTGGTCTCCAGCCGGACATTGAGCCATTGACCACAACTCTTTGTGTGTGGCCATCCAGACAGTTCTTTATCCACCGAGTGGTCCATCCATCAAATTGATGTCGCTCTAATTTAGAGACAAGGATGTGCAGGACAGTGTCCAACACTTTGCACAAGTCCAGGTAGATGACATCAACTGCTCTACCCCTGACCATCAATTCTGTGGCTCCATCATAGAAGGCCACCAAATTGGTCAGGCAGGATTTCCCCTTAGTGAAGCCATGCTGGCTGTCACCAAGCACCTTGTTGATTTCCATGTGCCTTAGCATGCCTTCCAGGAGAGTCTGCTCCAAGATTTTGCCAGGCACAGAGATGAGATTGACTGGTCTGTAGTTCCCCGGGCCATCCATTTTCCCCTTCTTGAAAATGGGGGTTATATTTCCCTTTTTCCAGTCATCAGGAGCTTCACCTGACTGCCATGATTTCTCAAATAGGATGGACAGTGGCTTAGCAACTTCATTTGCCAGCTCCTTCAGGACCCGTGGAGGGATTTCATCAGGTTTGTCCATGTTCAGGTTCTTAAGATGATCTCTAACCAGATCCTCTCCTACAGTGGGCCCAAGGTCTTCATTTTCACACCCTGCGTCTGCCTTCCAAGACTTGGGTGGTGTGGTCAGAGCGTTTGCCAGTGAAGACCGAGGCAAAGAAGTTGTTAAGGACCTCAGCCTTCTCCAGGTCCAGGGTAGCCAGTTCTCCTGATACCTTTCCTTCAGGTGCAGAAAGCATTTTTAAATTACCAAGATGACAGGTATTTTGTGCTGTTTATGCAAACCCTTGAAGAACCTAAACAACCAAGTCATTAATAACTTGTAAATCCAAAGCTCGTTTTTTAGTAGCAAACAAGGACACAGGCATGAAATAATGATAAAGTGAGTATGGTAAGCCCATGGGAGATACTTAAATGAAAGTTTGTTGGTTTAGTGCCTTGTCCAGCTTGTCATAGGGTAACTTTCTGTTTTTTTATGTTAATGATTTGCCTTGCTTTCCCACACTCTGAAGGGCTGCTTTAATCTCAAGTTTGAGAAGTGCTAGGAGTCGCTTTCCAGATGGTGTTTACTCTGCAAAAATTAAAATGTTGCTTTTTAGGACTTCATCAAAGTTTTGTTCTTTTTTATTTTAGAAATCTTCCAGAATCCCTGAGGATGACATCAGGTTGAGAAAAGATAGAGACCAAAACTGTGCCAATTTCTTGGAGCCAGCTACTGTGCTTGCTACAAAAGAAGAGAAAATGGAAATTGAAGTTCCAGTTTCTGAACATAAAAACATCACCACAGTGGCTTCACCACATCCCATGGACAATCCAACACATTTCTTTTCCTCTGCTACCAGCCACAATGGTCTTAAGGAAAGGCACGAATCTCTGGACAGTGAAGTTGCTAAGGAGATCAGATACCTAGATGAAGTGTTGGAGGCAAATTGCTGCGATTCTAGTGCAGATAATCCCTTTAATGGGACATCCTCCCCTGAACCAAGTGCAGTCTCCATTATGGATGGCTCAGGAGCATCTGTTAATGTCAATAATAGTTCCACTCCCAGTGAAAGGGAAGAAAATGTAGCTGTCAAGCAGACACCTTTGGTAGTTGAACCAAGTGAAGCTAGCATAGCACATGAGAACCTGAAATCTAATGGCCATTCCTTCAGTGAACTAAAAGATGACACTAGGGAGAGTCTGAAGGTGCCAGGAAGTCCTGCTTCTTCAAACAGCTCTAGAAGATCCTCTAAGGATGGAGAAACAACTCTTACAACCCTTAAGAAAGAGGCAAAGTTTGAACTACGAGCCTTCCATGAAGACAAAAAGCCCTCAAAGCTCTTTGAAGATGAGGAAGAGAAGGAAAAATACAGGGTTCGCAAAGTGAGATCGTCAGAGGAAATGATGGAACTTGAAAAGGAAAGAAGGGAACTTATTAAAAGCCAGGCTGTCAAGAAAAACCCCAACATTGCTGCCAAATGGTGGAACCCTCCCCAAGAGAAGACCCTGGAGGATCAACTGGATGAAGAGCATCTGGAGTCCCACAAGAAGTACAAGGAGCGCAAGGAGAGACAGCAGCAGCAAGGTGCAACATCCTTTGTACCACCAGAGCCAGTCACTATCAAGAAAGAGGATATTGTCACAGAGCAGATTGACTTCTCAGCTGCCAGGAAGCAGTTCCAGCAGATGGAGCATTCAGGGCTGTCTCAGGGCCAGGCCCCACTGAGGCGGTCAGGAACACCCAAAATGTTCTCCATCAAACCCTTCTGCAAAAGCCTCAATTCTTCTCATATTGATAGGCCACTGTCCTCAGTGACAAGACCCATTTCAGTGTGTGGGCCAGCAGGACAGCTGGAGGGGAACAGTGCCACTGTTGTCAAAGCACAGAAGGTCTCCTGTACCTTAGAAGATGATACAAGTACTCAGACTACAACTGCTGACCCAGTAAGAGAGTTACCATGCACTGATAGCTCCAGAGCTGGACAGGCCTCGAAGCTGTGGGCAGAAGATGGAGAATTCATGAGTGCAAGAGCAGTCTTCACAGTGGTGAAGGATGATGGACAGGGCATGCTAGACCAGTTCCCAAAGTCAGGCAGTGCCTCTTCTCCTCCAGAGGAGCTTGACTCCGGCTTGGATGACTTGTCTGTCAGGTCTCAGGATACCACCGTCTTGGAGACCCTTTCCAACGACTTCAGCATGGATAACATCAGTGACAGTGGTGCTTCCAACGAGACCATGAGTGCTCTGCAGGAAAGCTCGCTGGCTGATTTCTCCCTGCCGCAGACCCCGCAGGCTGACACTCCAGCAGAGTGTAGGGGTGAAGGCATCTCTAAGTCATTCAGCGACCCAGGCTGTGACTCAGCCTCCTCTGCCTTGGCAGACTCCATGCTGATTGATGACCAGCTGGAGTACCATGCTGACCTGCTGGTTCAAAACGCCATCCAACAAGCCATAGCCGAGCAGGCGGATAAAGCAAGCTGCAGGAAAGAAGAAACCCCAGTGGAGAAAGAGGTCTCGGTCGAAGAGCAGCCAGCCACCCCTGGGCCAGCTCCAGCCTCCAGGGGGCAGCAGAACCCAATGTTTGAGCCACCCCAGGTGTCCTCACCTGTCCAGGAAAAAAGGGATACCATACCAAAGATTTCAAAAGAGGAAGACTCAGGACTCAGGGAAGGGAAGAGTTTGCAGCAGTCGCCTGTGTACTCCGCCAGCCAGCCGTTCCTTGTGGAGGAGAACAGGCATGAAGTCAGCTATTTCAGCAAGTATTCAGAGGCAGCTGAGCTGAGGAGCACAGCTTCCATCCTGGCCACGCAGGAATCTGAAGTGACCGTGGGCCCTTTCAAGTTACGGTCAAGGAAGCAGCGGACTTTATCGATGATAGAAGAAGAGATCAGAGCTGCCCAGCAACGAGAAGAGGAGCTGAAGAGGCAGCGGCAAGGTCTGCAGATGGCACCAAGCCCTGTTACAAAGAGCGCACCACCCATGCCCACCACCAAAACTGTGTCTTACAAAACTGCACCAGGTAAGAGCTCAAAGTGTCAGAGGGGAGGTATAATGAGACTGAAGGGTCAGGTCAGATTTGGGTTTATGTCATTTTTGAATTAATACATCATTTTGCAGGGACTGAAGGGTTGTCGTGACTTCATCTGCCTGGAAACTGCAAGTGGAAGGAGAGCATGGGAATACCCAACTTTGTCTGTTACCATTCCTTTGGAAATCTTTGGTGGTTTTTTTTTCCCCAAATGTAACACAGAAGTATTTTATATAACCTGCTGTCATTAAGAAACCCTGTGCTCTATTTGCCCTCATGACATGTTTATCACTGCTCGGACCACCCACTGAAATTTACCATAATCACAAGAAAGGACAGCAGCAGTTTTGGCAGCTGTGTGGATATTTAAAAGACAACCATACGAAGCCTTTTTAAACAGGCTTTCTGTTCTCTTTCACCTCATTAAAGAAGTGCAAAGGTAGTGGAGATTTAGAGATCTTAACATTTTGCCTCAGATTTATTTTTGTGTGTGTTTTGCTTTCTGTTTCAGGTATTTCTTGATGTTATTAATGATCTTTTCTGGTAAAAAGTTCTCCAGAGCTGTGAGCGGCTGTGTGTTTCAGCTGGTGTCGTTTACTACTGAATTAAGCAGGTGTCACAAACAAAACGTTTAATAAATTCAGTAGAAGTCCTCCTCTGACTGATCAGCTTTTGGGTCCTTGTGGTGACATTCACAGCAGTTACAGCATATCTTTCTCCTCCTTCCCTTTTCAAAATAGAAAATCAAGCACTTATGACCTCTTAATATATAAAAAAAAAAAGAGCTAAAAAAAGAAATAGAAACACAAGCCAAGCTTATTTCTTGTTTAGTAACTTTTATAAGTGTAGATCTACATATGCTTTGCAAGTACTTAGAAGTTTTTATTAACAGTGACCATTGTGAAGAAGTAGTAATTTTACCTAGAGGGATTAAGTTCCATCCTTATTTCCACTGGTGTAAATCTGAACCAGTGATGCTTCCAAAAATTGTGCATGGTGATTGTTTTCTTTTGAAAGTCGTGTCAAACTTGAATAAGGTCTGGATTTAGTCCATTACCCAATCCAATTGTGAACTTGGAGTGTTACGCAGAACATAAATAGCTAATACTTGGCTTTGTTTCTTCTGCAAAGAGGATGATTTTAACTGTGTTTCTTGCCAAAAAAAAATGTAGCAGATGTCAATAATTTCTTTGAAGTGCTATTGCTATTACTCCTATAGAATGGGATTTTTGATAGGGAACCTCCATAAGATGAGGTGTTTTGAGCAATGTCTAACAAGATGTGAGACAGGGTACTGTAGATCTCAGCTAGACTCCTTGTGTAAAGGTACTCTATTACCACTTTCAAAATCAGCATTGTCTGTAGCTGTGCATTTTGAGCAAGTGCTCAAAATGAGGCTGATAATGGTTGCTTCTTATCTACAAGTGATGTGGGAAGGGCTTCTGACACTAATGCTTGTTTTAATGGAGCATCTGGGAAAACTGTATTTCTGCTCATTCTTGTTTCTCTATACAAGGCATTTACTTTGTGTCTGATGTTAAGATGTTAACTGGAAATTACATTCTAGTGAGAATGATAAACTTACATTTATAATGAATCATTCCAGACAGTATCCTTTAAATGTGCAACTGCCATATGTTCAAGAAAAAAAGAAATTGGACCTGTTAGCTGATGACTCAAGCTACTGCAGTTTGCAGCTGGTGATGAGGCAAAGAACTAATTTCTAGGAAAAGATTAATATGTGGCAATGTGTAAGGATGTCGTTGATTAAAAAAATACCAAAGTCATTCTTACATGATCTGCTTTTGGTGATTCCTAAACAGCAGATGTGCTCAACAGAGCTCTAAACTGGCAGAAGGTAGCTTGGCACCTTTAGCATTGCAGGGTGCATACACTCAGCTCACCCCATCCTTGCTGTACCTTTGGCCAGCTATGTTGCAGTTAAAGACTGCAGGCAAAAATAGGGAGAAGGGATGCCATGCAACCCTTGAAAGACTGCAGGAAATTTTCTTTTATTTTAATACTTACAGCATCTTTAAATCAATATTTAAAAAGCCAGAAGCAAAAGGTGATTCAGCAGGGACCACAAAATCTGTCTGTATAGCTTCACTGTGGCCAGCTACAGAGGTGATTTACAGAGCAGAGAAGAAAATCTACTTGTGGTAGGCCCAGGGAGGAATATTCTGTAGAACATGTGTGATATTGTTACCTGAATATTTTTTCAAAAAGGGTAAGAGTAAGAATAAGAATGAACAGAGGTACTTCTGTCATCAGATTGGCTTACCCAAAGAAAGAATTGGCACTCTTAATATCAGGATACCTCAGCAGAAAGGTAATAGGGGGTCCAGTATAAATTTTAAAATCTGTTGTTTGTCTGTAAGTGGGGAATTTTAACTCACCAGAACAATTCGAGGAGATGCTGTAATTAACTTATTTAGCAATAGCCTACCTAGCAGGTTCTTTTTCAGAAGTGGACTGGGCAGAGTAGCTTTACCAGGACTCCCCAGTTATTTACTGCTCCTGCCCCACTTCACTACTTGGCTTTGAGTGTTATGTGGATAACAGAAACACAAAGCACAAAAAGGACTGCAGGGAACTAAACTGCTAATTTGACTGAAGTGTGGAAGATTAACACAATTCATGTGGGTGTATGTGTGAAGTAACTGCTAAGTGCTAAAAACAGGCTATTTTTACCACCCTGACATCAACTTACAGCTGATAGTAACACTGAACTTGGTGTCTGCAAACCCTTCAATACAAGCCAGCGTGGTTCCTAGTAATAAACTTATGTATTCCTAATAAGTATCCTTTAAAGCTGCCTGGGATGCTTCAGAGCAGCCTTTTAACCCATCTCAGATCTTTGGAGCAAGACACAGAGTTAATTGCAGTGGATCGACAATGTGTTGTGTGCAACACAGGATAAGACCTTCTCCAAGGTGCTCCTGGAAAGGTGAATAGAAGGACTTACATGAGCTCCTTTTGCAAAAAGTTGGGTTTCCTGCATGAGGAAATCCAAGAAAGACCAAAAAAGCCCTTGAGCTTGGCAAATTAGAGAGTCATTGTAGATCCTAAAATATCTGTGGATTTGAATGTGAACATTTCCTTGCTGTTTTGCTGCAGCACCTGCTGCCCTTCGCGAGGTGTTGAGCAGCTGCATAGCAAGCCAGTGGTTTTCTTCTACAATGTGCCAACAGTGCACCATCCCTCTTGGGCAGAGCAGCTGAGGCTGTTTGGTAGTTGATTTGAACAGTATGATGTGTGTGTGACACAAGGGGATCAAGAATACGTTTGGGAGTGTACTTCCCACATTCCTTTTATTAGGAGCATTTCGACCATGAAGAACTTTTGTCTGACTTCCTGTAGTGCCTGGCTTCTGTTTATCAGAGGAGGTGTGAAAATTACTACATGAGAGGTCTTGGTTCCGTGAAGGTTTTTCTGTTGGAGAGAAACCCTTTGTGAATATTTGCTGTCTCATGACAAGGCACGGGGAAATTTCTAACACAAGAATCTATGCCTGGGAGAAGCTTTTCTAAAGCTGCCATGTCTGACTTATTGGTGTTTGTCACCAAAGCATTGCCAGGTGAGGCAGAAGGCATGTTGCCTTCCCTGCACTCATCCGCCAGCAGTCAGACCCGTCTGCACACGCATCTGGGAGGGCTTCCCACCAAGCAATCATCTTCTGTTATCCTCAGCTGATGAAGTAGATGAGAGAATTTCAGTGAATGGCAAAAGCCCAGGAGCAGAATGAGGCTTAGACATGTGAGTGTTCAGGTACCTCCAGATAGTGAGGGATATGCGTGCGCTGTCTTCTTTGTTCTCCTTGCTTGGTTCTGAGTGATAACTGTGGAGCGTAATCCTGTCAGAGGAGCCACTTCAGCCTGAAAACCATTCTCGCTAGTAAATCCCCACACTAAGGAAACTTCCCAGGTTCATATTTGTGGCCATGGGAAAATTTGCAATGCCCTATATACATATACAGGGATCAGGTGTAATACCTGTGCATGAACCCCTTGTTAAAATGAGAATTTTGAGAAAAGCTAGAGCAGAAATGAAGCCTTTGAGTTGATGGAAGATAGTTTCCTTACCCATTCATAAGCACCAGTATAAGGGAAGCCAAGTTCATAATTCTCTTCAAGGATTCCTCTGGAGTGCTCATCACTCATTCCCCAAACACCTCCAGGAGTGCCTTATCAGAGTACTAACCCAGCTCATTTGTCATTTGGTGTTTTATTCCCTCCATAGTGGAGAATATGGATAAAGTGAGAGGATACTCGAGAGGTTCTTTCTTTAATGTTTGCTTCTTTGTGTGTTTGCATATTTGTGTTGCTCACATGATGTTCAGGAAGACACAAGAAATTCACCTTTCACCTGGGGTGGTAATAAGGCTCCATATTACCAAAGGAACTTTTTTTTTTACGTACTTCAGCTATCCCCTGACTCTTATTTAATGTCCTAAGACAATCTGTGCTGAAATACCTTATTTTTAAAAGGTTTCTCTGCTGTGCAGATGTCTTAAAAAATGCCAACAGCATCTGTAAAATACTTGCTCTTATTTACGTGATGCCCTATTTTCCCCATCTCCTTTGCACCTTCATTAACACAGCCAAGGCCATCAGCCTGTGGTACCTGCTCTTTGCTCAGTGGTGACTCAGGGTCTTATCCCAGAGCCTCCTCTCAGTCACTCTTTCTTGATACTGCAGCAAATCAGCTGAGCTCTTCTATTTGGACACCCATTAGCCTCCACAGCTTGGATAAAGTTACGATCATAATCCCTCTTGCTCTCCAGAGTTGTGCAGAGGATTTGGTTAGGAGAAATTTGTCCCTGGCTCTTACATGTCTTTGATTTTGTAGAGAGGTTTCAGGCAATGTCTTGAAGCTACCAGACTGGGTGGGACACAGCAGCAGCTGCCTCTTCCCTGAGCTTTCCCTTCCCCTCCCCAGGGTTGAGAAGGAGTATTTTCTGTAGGAGCAGCTGCTCCCTGCCCCAAATAGAACAAGGGGCAGGAAATCAAGAGATATCAAGTTCCAGGAGCTTGATACTAGATCTCTGAAGCCAGGGAGTGGAGGGAGCCATTACCAGAACTGAAGCCAAAGAATGTACTTTGGAGTCCCTTTGAGAGAGGATGAAAACAGAAATGTGTAGGTAAATGTTTGGGATGCTATCACCTGTACTTGGTATCTTGCAACAGCTCTAAAGGTGATCTTATGGGATGACCTTCCCCTGGAGGGGACGACACTGCTGATTCCATTAGAATCAAAGCACAGTTCCTTTATTACTTAGCTTGAATTTGGGCAAGGACCACTAGCAATGTCTATGTGCATCAGGTGTGGGCATGAGACTGTGGTAGTACAGAGTACCTGTGATCATCCTATCTCATGATGCTGTTATGCTGAATGACTTTTCTGCCTGAGAACAGTACCTTATCTGGATGAAAATCTGCCAGAAGGAAATGAACACAGCAACATTTCTAACAAAGTCCAAACTGGCAGAATAGGTCTGTTCTGGAGTGGAATTCTGCATCAGGTTCACAGGGTTTTCCTGTGGTTGTTCTGAAAGACCTGAAGCCTCAGACACACTGTCATCTAACCACAGCTTCAGTTATGGTTGTGCTTGCCTTTCTGACACTGTTGGCACTGGTAGGATCTCTCCCTTCTACCTGTTCTTACAAAATTTTTGGAAACTTGAAAGGGATGCTCATCTGTGATAAGGAGTTGATGCTGTAAATTCCTGAGGTTTTAGAGGAATTGAGACACAGCTAAAGTGGCTGGATAACCATCATTTCTTGTGGATACAAACCAACAAACAACTGTTCTGCTGTGGGCAAATCTCCTTACTACCTTGGTTTCTCTGTTTTTGAAAAGGAACTGTGACACTGTTCATGGTGACACTGCCCAGCATACCCAGAACGTTTGTGTATTGCTGCAGAGTAGTTGCTGCCACGATACAGAAATTGATGTGCCTTCCACCCGGGGAAGATGGATCTGCTTGGAGATACCCACTTTCTAAAACACAGATCCACAAAGCCTATGATTTGTATTGTTTTCCAGGGGAAGTGGAGTGGAAGGAGTTCTTTTCAGGTATGAGGCTGAGGTCTGAGCATCCTGTGATGTATCTGCATCCCTGGGGGAAAGCAAAAACTGGGCAGACAACTGGGCAGAGAAGCCTGATTCTTCCTATATTACTTGCATATGTCCAAGACAGTTACTTAGTGTAAGGATGAAGTAATACAGCAAGATTTCTGATGCTTGGTCAGGCCTTTTATTTTCAGCAGACTTTTTTACTCGCTGGACTTAAAGTGACAGTTGCTCTTACTCTTTCCTGCTAAGTAGTCTAAGCTGTCACGTATGGGTGCAGATGGGCAGCTCTGGACCTACTGCTGGCCTCTGCTTTGGCATCTCTTGGCTGGCTGTGGTGCTGATGATGGTGTAACACAGAGAAGAACCTGGGCCCATAGAAACTGCCCCTCAAGTCACTGATGGTATGAATTAAAGGGGACAGATTCCCAGCCTCAACCCTGCTCTGGCCAGTTTAAGCTAAGCCTGTAACAAGAAACTGATGATGCTGGGGTTTTCCATACTGGTCAGAAACGAAATAAACCAAGTGAGGGGATTTCTTGTGAAAGTCCTCTGCAGTGTCAACTCAGGTTTCACTTCTTTCTTCAAAAATAAATCTTGCTGATTCTTACAGGAGATTTCAAGGCTGCTCTCTAGTGGCTACGACTGTCATAATGCTTTTTGGAGGAGCAGCGAGGATTTTCATTGGTCTCAGCAACAGGAAGTTCCATGACAATCTGCACAGTCCTGATTACTTCACTTGTTTGTAAGGGTTTTGGGGTGTTTTTTTTTCCTTGAACTATCTTATTTCAAAAAGCTGACATGCCATGGAAAAGGTATTTTGTCTCAGCATTGCTTTCTCCTGCTGAGGACCTCCACACCTTACTCCCACACCCATGACCTCCATTGTCACCCTCATTCTTCCCACTGGGACAAGCTTGGTGGCTTGTGGCTCAGTGCCTGATGATGAGAAATGGAAGCTGCAATTCTTGGAGGAGCATGGGTTGTCTGCCCCCTGAGCTGTCCCACTGCTCACTGCTCTGGCCTGCTTTTTACCCACCTCTTCAGCTGGGGTCACTCTGCCTGACACAGGTTTCTCTGTGTGAAATGGGCTCAGTCAGAGACAAACCTGACTTCTCTCTGACTTTCATCCCAGCAGGAGACTGAAGGGTAATGTCTGAATGGGGGGTGTGTTGAATGGAGACTCCATCCTGCTCTGCTGCAGTTCTCCCTCCAGGACTGTCATCTGCGACTTGCAGGAGAGAAGTGCAGGGAATAGTAACACCAGGGACCAACCCAAAGCCTTTCACACTACAAAACAGATAAAAAACACTAGAAGGAGAGAAAAAGCCAGCAACACTTCAAAAGACGTCTTCTTTACACTTCTCGCACGTGGTCCTTGGCATGCAGTGGTGGCATGCTGTGTGTTGTGTTGTCTGAGCCAGATAAAAACATCTTGCAGTTTTTCAAAATCTTACAGACCTTTTCAGATCACTGATATGTGTCCTGTAGGGGGGAACAGGACAGATACTACTGTAAACAACAGTGGTGGGTTAAATTTGCATTGTATAATTCGGTAACCCTTCTAGGTTTTGTAAAAAAGGTTTTGCAGTGTTTTGGTGTAGTGTATTTCAGAAAGAGGTTTAAAATCCTGTGACCATGCTGATATGTGAGATTGTTTCATAGATTTCATTCCAAACTGTTTCTTCATTCAAGCCCCACTGAAAATGTTTCTCCAGCTGTCATCTTTTAGAGAAAAATTGTGAATCCTTCAGATTAGAAAGGGTCACTCTTTTTCATGCCGTTGCAGGAAAGATAGGGAAGATCAAGCCTCCTCCATCACCCACCACAGAAGGCCCTGTCTCACAGTCTGACCCACCAGCCGAGGAGCCTGCAGGAGCCCAACGACCCAAGAACTTAATGCAGACCCTCATGGAGGATTACGAAACACATAAAACCAAGAGACGGGAAAGGATGGATGACAGCAGTGTAAGTACACTTTTCATTTTCACTTTTTGCTTTCCAGTAAAGATCATGACTCATGAGAGCCAGCATTCAGACAACAAAACTGTTTCTTTCCCAAGAATCTGCTCAGATCATCTTGCAAGTGTGCAAGGATTTTAACACATTGTAAGGGCTAATGTTTTTGAGATGGAAGGATGCAGGCCAATGGAAAGGAAGAGAGAGTGTAACTGCAGTTATCAAAAGCAGCTCATATTAAACTTCATTGTAATTAATTATTGACAATGGCAGTGGGTAACTGCCCTTCCATTGGTGGACTCTGTCAATTCACACATGACCAAGACCCTTCAGTGGGTTATTTTAGTAGCTTTTTTGGACTGTGTGGATCAAATGTGTACTCACACCTGTGTTCATAGAACTCCCAGAGTCCCATCCCACTGTGCTGAGTAAGTGGATAACTTCCCCAGAAACCGTGTCCTGCAGAACAGGATTGCAGATGTCTCAGGGTCTGCATGCTGTTTCCCTCCGAGTTTGTTGTCTTTCTAACACAAACAGAAGATGAACCAGAATTTCATTTTGTGAAATGGGTGCCTGAATTTCGGTCATTACTGTAGTACAGTTTAACCCAATTAAGGTGATCTGTTTTGGAGGCACCAGTAAGAAGATCTGTGAATTCCATAGCTGGAACTATCAAAATACAGGTTTAACCATTATACAGCTTGTTCCCCAACAGAGCATGAAGTGGTTTTTTATTCAGACTCATCATTACTGTGGTTAGTGAGTGCAGAAGGTAGTGAGATACAAGAGCAACGTAAAACTTTTTGCTCTTTGCTGAAGCAGCCACAGTCCTTGAGCATTTCCCAGAGACATCAGAGCAATGACTCTAGTACCAAGGAGCTCATTCTCCTGAGAAACTGCTTTCTAGTAACGTCCATTAAAGGTAGAGCCTCATTAGGCATGTGGAAGTAAGTGAAGGTTTGTAACATGTATGATTCTCTAATCTGGCAGCTATTATATATGAATATTAAAATCAGAAGTGTGAAGCAGTCCTGTTGTATTTCTGCTGGTTAATGAAAACGTAGTAGAAGGCCTGACTCAAAATGTAAACAGATTCATTTCCACTGCACACCAGAAGCTTTCTGGTCCCTTCTCCTGCTGCAAGACTGAAAAACAAGATCTCATCATCCATCCTGCTGCCACATAGGAAGCCAGCTTGTGCACAGAAGTGTGCCTTGTTCTGTTCAATGGCATCTTGGGAAGGAGCTGATTTCCCTGTTTTCCCCAAAGACCCTATGAAATGGGGTGGCTTCATCTGCTCTGGTGGGTGCTCTTTTCTGGCATCACCCCAGACAATCTCTTTCCCTGAATGGCATTAAGAGGCTTGCAGGAGACATGTCAGACCCTCACGCCCTTTGCGGAAGCCAGGAGGAACTTTAAAAAATGAGGGATATAAAACTCCTGCCTTGCAAACCAGAACTGGTTCTCAGGAGCCTGCAGTGAGCATCTGTCAGTCTGCTGGCTTGAAAAGCAGAGAAGCTGCTCTGCTAAAGAGGCAGCATTCAGCTGGTACTCAACCCTGCGCTTCCACCCCCATGAAGAGCAGAAGTGACTTGCCCAGCTGTGAGGCAGCGGCATGTGGCTGGAATATTCTCTCCCAGCTGTGATGGTTACATGCTCTCTGTTGTACATGTTGTAGCACACAAAAGACATGCGAGATGTCATTAGACCTAACTCCTTCTGTTCAGTTAACCTGAGTGCAACTCCTCAGGTACTTGTGGAGCTTCACGTGTCCCCTAGAAAGCAGGTCACAACTGCATTGTCCGTTCTGCAGTTTGAACTGAGCCCTGATGTCCTGACCAGAGCACTGGTCTGAGCAGCATCTGACTGAGGAGTTGTGCTCCTGTCCACTGCTGCTGAAGCTGCCCAGGCACTGAAGCTGCCCAGTGCCCAAAGATGCACTGCCAGCACACGGGTGATGGTCAGACAACTTGCAGGATGGATCCTTTTCTAGGATGAATTGTCAAAGCTGGAGTGAATCTACAGAGGCCCAGTGCACAAAGAAGCCCTACAGTGTTGTGGCTTACTGTCGTTCTCCCCTTCTGCAAGCCCACTGCATACAGCCAAACAAGATTTGCATTCTTGCTGCTGCCTACCCAAAATCCTATTAGAGGATAGTGTCCTGAGAGCCCAGGGAGAGCTTCCTTGGACCAGCAGGAGTGTTTTCCCTGCGTTTTTCTGTTCTCCTTTTGTAAACAATTCCTGCTATTGACTGGGGAAAGATAATTCAAAAAAGAAGTGCTGCACTTGTATCAGTGTTAGTTTGAGCTAGAATTTTACATGCCAGGCTAAGCAGTGGTTATTTAAACAACAAACAGTTTTGATCTGTTAGCAGAGGACATTTAACCATGTGCTCAGGAAAAAGATTTCTGTAACTAGTGAAACAAAAGAGCTCATCGCTGGCCTGCTTTTAAAAGCATACAAGCCTAACTGACAACCAGACAAGGAGCTGCCACTTGGAGCATTAAGTCCTGTGAGCTAAATGTAGCTCAGCGTTGCTCTTTGTGAGTAAGGGGAACCAGAGACTTCCTTGAGTATTGGGAGCAGTCAGGGTGCTGTGGCAGAAGGGGCAGAAGGCCACAGTCTCCTGAATGGTATTGTGGAGAGGTTTGATGGCCATGGAAACTCCCCCTCATTCGCTGCGCATACCAGCAGTTCTGACATATAGAGACACAAGACACAGCAGAAGGCAGGACAGTGGTTTGAGTAGGGCATCTACCCTGTCTGTCCTTTAAACATCACCACCTTGTTTTATGTCTGGCTTCAGTGGCTAAAACACAGCCACTCTGGCTGGGGCTTGCAGGTTTTGCCTTTCAGAAACAGAGGGCAAGTCAAACACATCTTCTCTTGGAAGAACTTCAGGCAAAGGGGGCAGTTTCTTCCAAAGAGGATGTGTTACAGTAAAGGTTTCAACAGGTGAGAAAAAGAGAAAAAAAAAGCAGCAAGATAGCAGATCAAGCACTGATGGTAAACAAGACAAAGACTGGCCAAGCAACATCATTAAAAAAAGCACCAAACTGACCAATACTTATTTTTTTATGACACAAAGTTGCTTGAAATCTTACACTCTGGGATGTGCCAGTTCCTGCAATTTATTTTGTTCTTGTTTCCTAGTTATAACATGCTTGTTCAATGTACTAATGCTGGTCTTTTCCCTTTCCACCAGTACGCCTGTAAATTACTGTCTAGCAAGGTTACTTCTGAGGTACTTTTCAACTGCATATTTATTTTTGCTTTCTCTTGCATGGTGATTCCAAGTGCATGTCGCTGCAGTTTGCATTTTCATCCTGTGTGCCAGTGCTGTTTCATATCAAAACCAGGATATAAATGCTGGGGGGAGGGATATTCCCCCATGTCTCTCATCAACAAGTATTTCTGTGGCTGGTTTTCTAGCCCTTAGATTCTAGTTGCAATTTCTGGCATGGGAAGGGTTGTCATTAAAGGGATGGGAGCGGTGCCCAGTACTGGAGCATTCCTGAGGCATGAAATGAGAACTTCTCCTTAATCCCTCTTGCTGTTTTGCTGGCAAAGCTAAACTGGGGTCCAAGCATCCTCAGATACTGAGTGCTGTGGCTTTCCTTTGCTCTGATTACTATGTATTCAGTACTACCAAAATCTTTAGCGTTTTGTAAAGAGTCTGCACACCAGCCTTTCATCTGTGGAAAAAGAGAGTCAGATGAAATCACACAGCCTGTCTGGTGCATTTTGTGAACCTGTCTGTATCCATGTCTGTTATGATGTGATGACTGATCAGAGTCCCACAACTTAACATCAGAATTGGTCTCAGAGTAGAAGAAAGTCAAACTTCCTAAAGAAAAGGTATTACGGTAACATTTGATTTTTTAGTAAGGCAATAACTGGCACAGTCTGTCCTTATCCCTACAAAGCGGTACTCTGCCAGACACAATTTTAAGAGCAAGATGTTGATACCAATTACACTTTGCAATGTTTATTAGGTATGAGGTGCATAAAAATGTGGACATTTCAATTGCCTGTAATTTTCTGTGTAGATGTATGTGCAAATCTGGACTTCTGTAAGAGACACAAGCAGATTGTGGTAGTGATTGACATTTATTTGTCCAGTATCAACCCTTCCACTACTTCCCTATTCCATAACATATTTGACAAGCTACCTCAAGACAAGTATATGAACATTTTCTGTCCTGGGGAATAAAGCAAAGACACTATGCCATTTCCTGTTTATTAAATAATTCAGTGTGGGTTTTATCTCACTGATACCAGCCAGTGATTGATCTTTATGTAGAGTATTTATAGAGAAATAATCAGTGTAATGAGTATAATAATCAGTGCTTTCAGAGACCTGTTTTTAAGCAGAGGTTTGGCCTCTTCTCCCCCATAGTATCTGCACAATATTCTGAGTTACAATTATGAATGGTAAGTAGTGATCAGAGCATTTGATACTGTGTGAGAGACAGAAGCTCAGGTGTAGATTTTACATGCCCAGCCTTTGGCCTTCTGGTAGGAATAGTTGCGTGTCCACCTTGTAAAATGATAATGACACCTAGAGTAATGAGCTGGAAATGAATGTGCATGGATGGGAAAGGGCATAAAGACGAAAAAGACTGTAGGACACACAAGTTCTGTATGCAGGTGGAGGTATGCCACCTAGCTAATCCCCAGTGTTAAGGCTCAGACTGAAGAAACCATTTGATTCTCACCGGAAATCTTTAGCTGAAGCTGGGCAGTTGTTTCGGAAGAATGGCAAGTTGGCATATCCCTCTGCTCTCTACTGACCTGACAGCTGATCTGTGTCTCTTACTGACCAAAGCCCTCCTTATCCTTCTGTAGTGCAGACAGATGGCTTAATTTTAATGGCTGTTGGCAGGACTGGAGCTGACCCAGCTTGTGTCATCTGGGAGCACGGGCTTCCATGCAATCAGCCTGGCAGCTCCACTACAGTAAGCAGCAAAACCCCAGCAAGGTATAGTAACTGCTGAAGTTAACCTACATGCAACAGACTACATCCTGCTCTATTAGGTCGGTGTGGTTTTATCACCTCCAAATTGTTGCAGCCTGTGTTACAAGGATATCCTTTTAAAGAGACCACAGATACCAAGTATGCAAGTGCCTGCACTTATATACTTTGGTTTTATCCTCGAAATCTGCTTTTGGCCTTACCACTATATATACCTTCGAAATTAGGGGAGATTATCCTGAGTTTCCTTAATATCAATCATGCTGTATGAGATTCATGCCTGGAGTACTGTGTCCAGCTATAGGTCCCCCAACATAAGAAAGACATGGACCTCATGGAGTGAGTCCAGAGAGGACCGTGAATATGATCAGAAGGCCAAAGCACCTCTTCTGGGAAGACAGGCTGAGATAGTTGGGCTTGTTCAGCCTGCGGAAGAGAAAGCTCAAGGGACACCTTACAGCAGCCTTCCAGTACCTAAAGGGGGCCTGTAAGAAAACTGGGGCGGGGCTTTCTACAAGGGGATGTAGTGACAGGACAAGGGGGAATGGCTTTAAGCTGAAAGAGGAGAGATTTAGATTAGATATTAGGAAGAAATTCTTCACTATGGGAGTGGTGAGGCACTGGAACATGTTGCCCAGAGAAGCTGTGGCTGCCCCATCCCTGGGAGTGTTCAAGGCCAGGTTGGACGGGGCTTTGAACAACCTGGTCTAGTGGGAGGTGTCCCTGTCCATGGCAAGGGGGATTGGAACTAAAGGATCTTAATGTCCCTTTCAGCCCACACCACTCTGTGAGATACTACTGAGGTAGCATTTTGAAACATGGCCAAAATGCGGTATGCTACAGATCCCCAAAACCAGCCACGACAACTAAAACAAAAGACTTTCTTTGACCTGCTGTGGAGGGCTTCTTGGTGATGGAGTCATAATGGGTCTATGGACAGCCCTGATATTTGCCAAAAATATCCTAAAATGGAGATCATTTGCTATTTTAGGCAAGCAGCTTCCTGGGTTGCAAATTCAATGCTCCATTGAGGAGTCCCAATTCTTCACGCAGTCATTTCAGTTGCATAATATAATTACCCCATTGTTTCCTCTAGTGGATGTTAAACTGACAGAGGCTAGTAAAAATGAGGATTATTTTAGGTCAAACACTCTTTTCAGTTGGTTAGAAAAATAGTTCTGGACTAGCTATTCAAATGGACCTTTAGTTTATTAGTATCTGTTCTCTTATTTAAGGGGCTTGTTTAGTAATACTAATCCAGACATCAGTATTTGTTTTCGTGCAAAAGCGAAATCCACATTTAATGCCCTCACAGTATCTCTGCTGTAATTCTGGAAACAGTTTTCCTTGGAGCAACCAGCAATATTTGCAGAAGCTTCTGGGCACGTTTTCAGACAGGGGTTAAATGGAATAAACTGTTGCCATCTTTTAAAACAAAGAGACAGTGATTAATCCAAAGCAGAGATCTTCAATATTTATGGATCCTGACTGTTGCAAGTCATCACCAGAGACCATCACAGCATTGTGATTTTCAGCAAGGAAGACACTGACTGGAAACTGTTGTAAATTATGTAAAATCCATTTTCTTTTCAGCTGGCATAAATCTGCAGCCAAATTCAGCAGATCTCATTTAAATATACCACCACTCTGTGACAGTGGCAGTTTTGGTTTGAAATTTGCACTGAATTTTCTGTTTTTTTTTCATGTGAAGTTCAGTCTAGGCAGGAGAACAGTAATTTTCTGTGATTTAATCATTATCCCATACTGGTCTTGATAGTCTCCTGACTGCTAGATACTCTAGCAGTATTTGTCTGTTGCCATCAAAAAAAAAGAAGTTACTGGTTTCCCCCACCTCATTTCTAACCCTGGAGTAGCCTCTTTTCTTATTCTGAGAAGAGAAGATGATGCACTGATAGCTGGTTCCGGTCTTGGTTCTTCATTGTTCAGTTTGGGTTGTCTTTCCCTGGTTCAGGCACTCAGAATACCAGCAGTTTAAACCACTGGTCCACAACCCTGCAGTGGAAGCAGCTCCAGTACACTGCTTACATGGTGATGTCTCAGAAGGAGTTGTTTTACTGATTCTAGTACTTACTTTGTTTAATGAATTAATCAGGTTTGTGAGCAGATCTGCCCTCTACTGGGTAAAATAGAAACTTCTCAGCCCTGCTCCCCGGAGGTTGCTCTGCAAAAAACAGGAGGCATGATTTGGGGAAAAATTCAGGAAAAAAAAAAAATCCCTCTAGTGGACCTGGACCAGCTTTTGTAGCCCTGTTCAGTGCCAGGAGACAGGTGGAGCTTCAGCTCAACATTGTCTCTGTTGGCTGGATTTTGCGTTCAGTTGTTTGGCTTGTTCATAGCCACAGTCAAAACAAACTAGCAGGCAAGGAAATCATAAAGCTTGCAAAACTCCACCCTACCTTCAGCTCCGGAATGGAGGTCTGGATCTTAGTGTAAATGCAGAAGTGTGTTCTCATTCCCGTAAGCAAAGTTATAGCCTGTAATTTCAGCTGACAGTCCAGAGCTGATTTCCCAATATTGCCTGTATAGGAGCCTATAGTACCTGTATGCTTTTCAAACCACAGCTTGTCACAAGGTGAAAGAGTTTCTTTAGTCTTAAATTATTTATTTTTATTCTAGTCAAGACTTAAGTCCTCACTGCCTCTGACTTTCTGCACAGAATAAAATAGCATCATCCCTTCAGAAGGTCAGCTACACTTCAAAGAGCGTGTGGAGCAGCTTGCAGGAAGTGTTAGGGACCGGGGATGGCACACATAGTTTCAGTGAACAGTCACATATTTGTTGGGCTGGGTTTTTTTACAATTATTTTTTTAACTGACTGTGTAAACATTTCAAAACTTAACTTCTGTGGTTTAGAACACACTGAAGGTAGTGGATGTTGACAGCTTTGTAGTTTGATCATGGAGCTGTTAACTTGGTCACGAAATATCATTGTCATGTGCTTCTGTAAGAAGGCTTCAAACCCATTTATGTCTCACTCTGCTGGGAGAAGAACACCCATTGCCATGCTTTATTTGCCAAGGAGTACATGAGATGCATGTCACAGTAACACCTTTGGTTTTGTCTGATTATTTTTAACCTTGTTTAAACACATATTAAAGCTGTCTCTTACTTTTTAGTTAATTGCTTATGTGTGTGCATATGTGTAATACATACACAATGTGTATGTTTTTACATGTGTGCATATATGTGTGTGTGTCTATTACTCTGTGTGTGTATGAAAAATACGTGAATGTATCAGGGCTCATCTTGTGCCACACTCTGCAGGCCGTGGAAGTCCTCCTTGAGTAAATTTGCGTTCCCATATGCATGGACTGATTTTTCATTCCAAGAGCAGTTGATCACAGTGCATAGACTTCGCTCTTGGTGTAGCTGCAAGCCAAAGACCACAAGAAGATGAGGAGAGGCTGCCTAGTTCTGCCTGCAGGGGTAACATGCTGAAATAAGCAGCAGACTGCTTTCCAGGCTGTAAGTGCAGCTCCAGAGCAGCCTCTGGGCAAAGCTGCTGGGTGCTAACTGGCTGCTGGTACCAAAGGTGTACAGCTGCTTCTGGAGAGAGGACCAAGACCCCATCCCCTGCCTTCCCCAGGCAGGGCTAGAGAGAGGACTGGAAAGGGGCAGCTGGGGCTCACCTGAAGTGAGCTTGATGCTGCCAGACAACTTCTACGACTTCTGTCCTCTCATGGTGTGTCTTTGCTCTTGTGTGCCATCCCCACCTTCACAACAGCAAGTGCTTCATTGCATGAGCCCTCCCAGTTTGCACGATGTGCAGCACTGGAAGCTCTGCAGGAAGGGCAGGCCCGGCTGGTCCCTGCCTCCCTGGGTGCACAGTGCAGGGCAGCCTGGCACAGGGGCCATGGGCAGCTGAGTGATGTGCTGTGTTTTCCCTTTCTCTCCTGACCAGGTCCTTGAGGCGACCAGGGTGAACCGCAGAAAGAGCGCTCTGGCACTGCGTTGGGAAGCCGGCATTTATGCCAACCGGGAGGAAGATGAATAACCACACTGCAGTGTGAAGACAGTGACCAGGCACACCGAAACCAAAAAAAAAAAAAAAAAAGAGAAAGGAAGGAAAAAAAAACACAATCCAAACATAAAAAACACCATGAAAGCAGCAGCATTTTTATCCAATATTTATTAATTAAATACACAAAAAACTCGATGCACATAGACACAGAAATGATCCGACTCCTGGCAATTGTCTAACAACAGGAAAAAACCCACCTAGAAAATAACGCCCTCTTCCTTCCCTCCATCCCTCCTCTGAAGTAATGCAATGGGGAGAGTGCACGGGGTGGGAATGCATGGCTGGAGGTCGGTGTGGAGGAGCCTGTGGCCAGGGTTCATGCCCTCCTTCCCGCTGGCCCAGTTGGCAGCCCTGCCTTGTCCCTGGCATCACCATCCCCAGAGCAACTGGTCAGACACGTCTGCAGTTCCTTCACCATCCACAGCGCGGCACCCAGACTGTTGGTGTTACTTCGGCGTACTCTTATCCAGCCACAAAACATAACAATATTGCCCTGTGTTGCTATTCCTTTGAGAAGACGGAAGGGTTGGGTTTGGGATTGGGGTGGTTTTGGAGGTGGGTGGGTTCTGCTCCCCCTTCTAGTAATTAATCTGTTTGAAAGGAAAAACCAACAGGGAGGTAGTTATTGCAAATGTACAATCCAGTAGACACAGTAAAACAGTCCTCGTGTTGCAAACACAAGCCATCACAATTTAGGAGTGGAATAGATGGGGATGAGAGCTAAGCCAAATGGATTAACTTAGCTTTAGGATCCTATATGCTTGCAATATCACCTGAGCTACAGGTTCTCAGAGCATATTTACGCAGCAAAGTTTCTAATAGAAAATCTGTATTTAGTGGATAACAACTATTTTTTGATGGTGGGGAGGGAAAAGTGGCATATGTGTAAAATCTATGAAGATGGGTAATTTGAAGTAGAAAGGTAGTGGGAAAGGGATACAGATAAAGGACATTTAATTTTTAAATGAGGCAATAATTGAAGTAAGCCAGTCTCTGGCCTAGAGAGAGGTATGAAATAAGAAAAATAGTTAGATCTTCAACTATATTTATACAACATAAGAAGCCTTTGAAGTACAATGATTTGTGGAAGTCTTCACGTTTCCAGGCAACAAAAAAAAAGCTAAAGGGCATAATGGGTTGGAAGGAGTGTGCAAGGAAGAGCAGGCATGGGAAGAAAACATTAGTTTTGCCGTTCAGCCAGTGTTTTCAGTGCTACAGACAAACCATAGAGCCTTTAGTTATTGCTTAGACTTGGGATCATCAGTGAAGGATTAGTGTGGATCTTTGTGTGCGTGCAGGCATGTGTGTGTGTGTGCATGTGTGTGTGCAGGTGCGTGCATGAGGTTGGCATACCAGGAACCGTATGGTAGTGCGTGTACTCATTATTTTCTCCAAAGCTGTTTACCAGCTGTAGGTGTGAGTGCTAATTTCTTTCTTCTTTTTTTTTTTTTTTTTTTTTCCTGAACGGGGATATAAAAACAAGGCACTGAGTTAATGCAGTATTTGTGATATTAAAATTTGACCCAACATCATATTTGCATGAGTCACGATTGCAAAGTATTGACCAGTTTTGTAAGCTGACAATTAGGAAAAGAAATGTGGTATTTATTCTTGTGCTTTGTATTTGTATGTAGTGTAGAGCGGACTTACTTTTTCTTTTCACCAAGTAATATTATAGGCATATTTTACAACTAGGAACCATAATTTCTGGACTAGAAAACAACAAGTTTTGGAGGTGACAGAAAAAAGGCACTGAGTGTTTTTTCGATATTCAGTCTTTTTTATAAACGATTATTATTTTGACATGTTTTTAAGAAACCATTAGCCAGGTCCTCCCTTAAGCCTTTCCTTGTTTTCATGACCTGCTGTGCTGTTTTATCCTGAAACACTGAGCTCATTTAAAATAAGTACTGATACTGTGAACATACTTCTGGTGCTTTTCTTAAACAAACACAGAGCTTGCAACCAAATTATTCCCCACACCACCACCTCCCCACTTCAGTTCCTCCAGCATGTGATTTCTGTCCATGGACACTTAACATTTTGAGGCTCGTTTTCAGGGAATTGTAGCAAATACAATTACATATACCTGTTGACTCAGTTCTGCCAATTGTCTCCCTAAGTGCTATTGAATAGAAAACAGAAGAGCATTCACTGTGATAAGGGCAGTGAGCTTATCTCAAGGATGCTCTCTAAACCCAGGTGCATGGCAAAGCACTCTATGAAGGAATTATATTCCCAATGAAGTGTACGCATTGTTCAACCAACAGCTGTGATTCATGCCTGACTATAGGAAAAGCACCACCACCAGTGCAGCACTGTAGTGAGACCGTACATCATGGAGCCTCCGTGAGCTCTCTGCATCTGTACCAAGAGGAGTCCTGACCCCCTCCACCCTTGGAGAGAGCTTAAGTGAGACTGGGGAAAAGGGTGTTTCCTGAGCAGAAGAGATGGCCCCTGCACTTGCAGTGAGGTGGTCTTGCACCAAAATCATGGTGTTCAGAGTTCCCCCAATATTGCCCTGAAAGCAGGGCAGCCCTGCGCTGCCTTCCCAAGAACCTGCATCTTTGTTTAACCTGGAGGCCTGTTTCCCCTCCTGCTCTCTCCCTGGAAGCCAGTGGCATTGATCACCCATCACAAGACATCTCTTCAGGCTTTGCCACATCCTTCCCTCCCACCACAATCAGCCGTGAGTGTTTGAAGTGAAAATAAAATGGTTCCCCTAGAAAGGGGATGTGGTGATGGGGAGAGGACAGGCAGGAGTCCTCTGCACCAGAAACATCTGCTTTTGGCCCCTGTGACAAAAGTATTTGCATGTATCGGTCCAGGAAAGCCAAACTTTCACCCAGCAGACTTCTGTTCTCTTCCAGAAATTATGGACATGCATAGTCAGCAGCACACATTCAGCGCTGTGGTAACAGGAGTGCGATGCAGTTTACTTGCCTCTGTTATTTCATTTGCATGCTACCAAGCTTAGGTGTTTATAAGTATATGCCAGTAATACATATCTATGTAACTATCAAATGCAACAAGAGCACTATTACAGAGTTAACTTTGTCTCCACAAAAGCGCTCAGATCCTTTCCCGTGGCAAAGACTGGTTTTAATGAAACTGTGTATTGAGAAATAGTTAAGCATTAGCATTTGTGATTATAATCAGTTTGGAGTTACAGTGCAGGTTTTCTGAACAATTTTTTTAAAAAGCTGCCAGTTTGAGCTTCATCTTGCTCTGTACTGACATTATCTGAAGGAAAATAGAGTAGCATTGACATGTTTGGCAACCAGAAGGCAGCTTCCTTGTCATGACTTATCAACCAGTTTCAACAGTACCTGGCTTTCTGTATGTTAACCACTTAAATGTTATCCTGCTTCTGTTTTATAGTGACTGTGAGGCCTACAATGCAAGTATATAATTATTTTCTCATTAAAACAGAAACCTGTGTTGTGTTTCTATAAAGGTGCCTGTTTATTCATGTGTACTCACACAAGCAGCACATGGCTGGAAGAGAGTGGCTTGTGTCCCACCTCCCAAGGCAGTCCTTGGTCTCTCCCCCAGTTCTTGACTCTGCTGCTTTCTTTTTGCCTAGAGGCAGGAGAGATCTCTTTTACTGCGCTCAGTTGATATCAGCTGCAGATACAAGGGCATCCCTGAGTATTCCCTTTCCATTAACATGCTTATGGAGGGCTGCAGAAGGTAGTTCTGCTTGCCCATTGCCACAGCCCTTCACCCCCCCTTTGATGGTCAGATAGACCAGGAGAGACTGTGTCCTTCACCTCTATTAGGAAGCTGCCATCACATTTGCCTGTAAGAGCTGGAAGATGCCAGTGCGAGGAGTACATGGCAGCTGTGCACTGGCTGCAAGGAGCTGTTGGGAACTAAGTAGGCTCCTCCTTGTACCAGGCTTAAATTATAACCCTGCTCCAGAGCCCACAGGAGAAGGGGATGATGTTTTTGATGGGAGTTGGCTAGGGCCACCTAACTGTAACACAGACCCTGCCCTCCCTTGTGCACACATCAGAAATGGCTAAGGAGAAAAGGCGGGTATTGATTTCCTTTCCTGTTAGTAAAGATAGCTGAAAGTCAGGAAATAGTTAGAAAGCAAGCTGGAAAATTTATCCACCAGTTATTGTCTTTATGAAGGAAAAGAGGTTACTGTCTTTTCAAGGCAGAATAGGCTGTCTTTGCTTTTGCTTGCCCTGTGCTAAGAGGGATAGCATATTCCTATACTATGTTCCTACTGGCAGACATCTAAAAAAGATGTCTTTTTAGACATCTAAAATCCCAGTTACCCCATTGTGTAGCCAAAATGCCATGCACCAAGCTCTGGAGTGTTTCTGCAGAGTAGTTAATGACTGCAAAAGCCATTCTATCCATCATTTTTGGTGTAGTCTTATATAAGGTGGGGATGTTGTGCCTGTAATAGTTGTAGGTGGCTTTAAAAGGCCTCAGCAAAATGGGAAAGCAAATGGAGAGTCAAGAGAAGCCCTCTGCAGAGGTGTGTTTGATTAAACTGCTTTAAGTGGAGGGAGAGCAGTCATTACAGTGTTTGCAGTTGTGAGTGAGAACAGGAAGCTAGGAAAAAAAAACCAGAAAAGCCCCCACGAACGGTCTGTAGTGTGAGGAAGCCAAGTCAGAGCATCATGAGCTGTAGCGGGGGCTGGGGGACAGGGCTAGGCAGGACCACTGCTACAAATGCTAGCAAGGACATTAGCACTAAAGATGACGTTCAGTTATGTTTTAGTTATTGAATTGATGAGGATGGCCGGTCCAGGAAACTATTAGCAGTGTGTGGGTCCAGCCCTGCACTCCTCCCCAGGTTAAAAACGGAGCAGCATCCCAGTGCTCCACATGACCCAAGACCAAGGGGAAGGGCGCTATCCTGTCACACCAGCAATAGCACAGGGGCGAAAGGGAGGAGAACCACAACAAAACTAATCAAACAAAACACACAAACAACCCAAGCAGCAACAGGAAAACCCAAAATGCCATCCTGATCTCGAAGTCTCCAGGAGGAACGCTTTTACAGTGCTAAATGTGGCACTCGTGTGAGAGCTCCTCCCCAGTCCCAGGCATGTGTCAGCTCTGCAGTGAATTCAGGGCGGTGCGCCATCCGGAGCTGGAAATGCTTAGGGCCTTGTGCCAATCTAAAGTGTGACAGTAGAGGCAAGATCGATGAAGGAAGAAAAATGCGTGCAAAGCTACTCCTTCACATCCTCTCGTTACTGCGAACTGCAAGGGGAGGACCGCATGGCAGCGAATTGAATGGCAACAGTGACACCTGGAGGGCAGATTGCACTGGGCATGGGAAGACCCTCATTCCAAGGATGTCCCCTAAGAAGCCAAATCCTGGGAGCAGCTAATACCCAAGACAGATGCGCTGACTGATCAGTCTCCAGGCCCTACGAGTGCCATGCCCACTACGACAGCACTCGTTTTGCTAACGCAGCAAGCCCTCTTGGGAGTAACAACACATTCGGAAAAGAGTCACGACACATCTGGGGTCCCAGACACAAGAAGGACATGGACCTGTTGGAGCAAGTCCAGAGGAGGCCACAGATATGATCAGAGGGCTGCAGCACCTCTCCTAAGAAGACAGACTGAGAGAGTTGGGCTTGTTCAACCTGAAGAAGAGAAGGCACTAAAGGAGGCCTTAGAGCAGCTTCCTGTGCCTAAGAAGGAACTACAGGAAATCTGGAGAGGGACTTTTTACAAGGGCTTGTAGTGACAGGACAAGGGGGAATGGCTTTACACTGACAGAGGGGAGATTCTTTACTGTGAGGGTGGTGAGGCGCTGGCACAGGTTGCCCAGAAAAGCTGTGGCTGCCCCATCCCTGGCAGTGTTCAAGACCAGGTTGAACAGGGCTTTGAGCAACCTGGTGTAGTGGAAGATGTCCCTGCCCATGGCAGGGGGTTTGGAGCTGGGTGATCTTTAAGGTCCCTTACAACCCAAACAGTTCTATGGTTCTATGCTTCTGTGAACTGACAAGCTTCTCATGGGGAAATAGTTGGGATGGGGACCCTAGAAAATGTTCTGTGCTTAACATGCATAGTGCCCTATACAGCCCTATAGGGTCTCCACCGATACAAGCTTCTGGGATGCACGAGACCTCCCAGCCAGCCATTGCTGGAAATAATTGTAAACTCTGTTCCCTCAGCAGGCAGATCGGTGGAGGACTGTGGCTGGGGTATACAAAACACTTTGCAAGGGGCTGTGCTGCACTCTTGCTGTGGGAACAGTTGCTGGCTGAAGGTGTATGCAGGGCAAGGGGGAAGAATAGGAAACTGGAAATAGCTCCATGAAGACATAAGGTTTTCATGCTGGGCCGCAGCACTCCCCCTTGTGGTGTCACTTATAAGAGGCTGTAGCTCAGAGGGGAGCAGGCTGCTTCTGTACAAATGACCCCAAAAAGCACTTCTCCTTTTGTAGGATCTGGGAACGCGGAACTCTCTCGGCCTTGCCTTAAAATGAGCATCAACACCTCAAGCTGCAACTGAAACACAAGAAGCCATGAAAATGCTAGCAAAACCACATGGTTAATGACACAACCCTGGTGAAGCAGCACCCACAGAAGACTTCAAGTGTTGCAAATAGATAACCAGTGATTGGAAAGGAGAGAAAAGCTCATGCCTCTGCAAAGCATCATCTCCATGGAGGAAGGTGGAGTTTCCTGATACACAGTGGCAATTGACTTGCTGGGCAGCTTCATCACCCCTGCAGCTGCATTGTGTGGAGGAGGCTGAAAGTATTCAGCCCTACTTAATTGAGGTGAAAGAAAGAAGGTGCTAAAGTAGGGCTCTTGCTCACTCCCTGGTAAGGCTTGTTTGCTTCTAGGAGCATGGCTTTGGTGTACAGCACTGGTCCAAAGTGGATCTGTTACACAGTATTACCCTTTCCCAATCCCTGCCATCTCCTCACCCTCTGGTGTTCCATTCTGGTGCTATCTGCATCCAAACATGGCTAATTCTGGGCAGCAGCACTGGATGGCTCCCATGAGCACAGGTATCTCACCTGCTCCCGCTGAGCCTCACAGGAAGGAGAAGACCCTTGATCAGACCAGGTCCCAGTCACAGGTACATGACTGATGGCCACTGCAAGGCTCCATAAGCCCGAGCCAGGCTCCCTCCCAGGCTGTTTTCCTCTCCTCAGGTACTTAACTGGATTTGAACTTGTTTGCCAAAGCACCCCATGGAAGATGGATAAACCAAGGCCTGTGAAATAAACCATAAGTGAACCAGATCCAAATGTACCAAATCATTTAGATACCTAAATACATCTATTAACCTTGTCCTTTGAGGTTGACACTGAGCTCAGCTGACCACTGAACTTATGCCAATGCACTACAAAATGATGAGGGTATGTTAGTGGGGTTGACTTGAAAGGTTGTTGGAGGAGAGCCAGTTGAAACAAAAACCTTCTCTTGGTTGCATTGCTCATGCCGAAAGGGGGCATGATTACAGCTTTTATTTAATGTTGTGTTTGAGGAAAACAGCTTAGCCAAGCTCCAGCCACAGAGCGCTGCAAAGAAGGCAGACTAAGCTTGTATGAGATGAAGAGGGCTGTTCTTAAAGAGAAGGTTATTGTAAGTTGTGGGACTTGATGTATAAAGAAAGTGAAAAATTCAGGTAGGAATGGAGGGAAAGGGGAGCAAGCAATGCAGATCAGAGGGGAGTGGTATGAACAGTGGGAAACAGAAAGATTAACGGGAAAATCTTGCTGATGGGAATTTTTCATGCAGAGAGCCATTTACTGAGCATATTCTGAAAATAAGCTCAGACAGCATATGAGCAGGGATGGAAGCTGTATGGCAAAAAGCGTATTTAACCAAGCTGTCTGTAAATCTGCTGCCAGGTCCAGACTATGGTGGTACAGGACAAGATTGAGGTCAGCTGTCCTACTTGGCCACTGTTTACTGAGTCGGTCTTCAGCAGAAGGGATTCAGGAAATAGCTGACTGACATCATTGCTCATGCGCCCCATAATTTATTGACATGCAGACTCTTTGAGTTTATAAATTAAAAGATAAGTCAATATAGTCTGTCTAAGCTTTTTCCAAGGAATACATTATTGAGATGCTCCAGTACTAAAGGATCAAAAGAGCATTTCAGTAAAGCCCAAAAGGGCTTTATTTTTCAAATCTTGTTTAATCTCTTGTTCCTTTCCTCTATAGAAGTATTAAATCAGTGTGGCTTTAAATGTCAGGGAGGTCACTCTCAGTTTGTGCTGTAGGCATCTGCCCTAGGCTATGTGCCCTTGCAGAGGGTGCCTGAAAACTCATGGGCAGACATGACTGATTAGCTGGTAACAGCTCCCACTGGCATCTTGAATGCGACATTCAGCACAAAATCCCAGAAAGTGATAGCCTCTGACCCTTGGAAGTGGTGATATGGAAGTGCATCATATGTGGCTATGAGGTATGAGGCCACATCACTTGTGTGTGGTTCAAGCCCCGCAGCCCT